CATTGCTCTGAGCGTTTTCTACAATGAACTTCAAATAAGAAAACCTTTTATGGTTATCTGAAACATATCTAAAAAAAAGTATATTTGTGTATTTTGATAGGCAGAAAAAGAAATGATAGCAATAATAACATACGAAACGATCACTATAATAGTAATGAAAATTGAAATGAAGTAATTTATATACACAAAAAATTAATGGCGCAATAAATGTTCGAATTATTTGTCTCGAAATGTCCTTCCATTTCGAGACAAATAATGGGTCAATAAGGTGGCCTGCAAGATCACCAGATCTTACTATTTTGGACTACTTTCCATGGGGGACATTAAAAAATAGGATTTACGCTGGCAGAGATAGAAAATATGGAAGATTCGAGATTGAGGATTTTGAACGATTTCGCAACAATGCAACAAATAAGTGTAGTAAGGACAATAAATAATATGAGAAACCGAGTTCAAAAAAAACGAAAGGACTCCAATTTGAACATTTATTGCGCCATTAATTTTTTTGTGTATATAAATTACTTCATTTCAATTTTCATTACAATTATAGTGTTCTTTTTGAAACACATATAATATATTTTTGATGTAGATATGTTTCACATAATCATAAAAGATTTACTTATTCGAAGTTCATTGTAGAAAACGCTCTTAGCAATGGAAAAAATGTCAATAGGTATCTCAAAATTTAAAAAAACTCTCAAAAAACTCTACGGTACATAGGGAAACGTGAAAGTTGCTTTTGTGTTTTTATTCAACTCAGTCAACCAATTTTCAGGGCCATAATTTGAAAAGGAATAATTCACACAACTATAATCAAATATTACCGAAACATCCCGAAATATACTATTGAATTCAATTCCTCAGTATGAAGTGAACGTTTACGATGCCAAAACTTCAACAAAAAATACAGTACCTTATTTAAAAATTCAAAGATGAGTGTGGCTCAAGTCAGATGACACCATATATAAAAGATTCATGGACATATTCTGATAGCCCACATCAAGTGCCAATAGCAAAATGTGGACAGATTTTCAATATGTCTGCGAATAAAGAAGATATAGGCAAAAAGATAATTTAGGATTTTTTTTGTTTTTCCTGTATATCTCCAGAACCAAAAGAGCGATTTCTTCACATCATCGAATAGGTCTCTAAAATACGGAACTTTGCCACAATTTAACCGATACTCCATCTCTCATCGTTTACGAGATTCCCATGTACAGAAACGAATTTACACCGATGATTGGCAAATTACCGAAAAGGCAGAGCCATAAGAAGAAAAAAAAGAAACGAATTTGAATAGCTCTGTATTTTCAATCTCAGTTATCATACTTCCTTGCATGAATTTAAATTCACAACCTTAGAATTTAGA